CTTCTTTCCAATGGTAGTATGTAACAGAATACTTCCATTTTGCTCAATGTAACTCATTTTGTCACATATATAATTCAGCAGCTTTCTTACAATAGGCCTTGAAGTTTAAATACTCAAAATTTTCTGGTAGAAAAATGAAGGACACTTCAAGACGATTTGAAAAATAAAACCCCTCAGAATCCCAGTAATATTAAATATATATCTTCTCATTTTGATAGCTTATCAAAATCTGAATAATCATGGTTGATTTGTTATTACAAACATTCACAAATCACATATTGTACCAGATTATTCAATGTTTTGGGTCAAAAACTCAAATGTTTGAATGTTTCGAATTCTGGAATTGTGTGTTATGATTCCTCGCGACAATTCCTCAATATTCTTATTTATTAAATTAATAAACGTAGTAAGTTTACTGTCAGATAGTTTATACCTTATGTCATATTAGTTGTCTGAATCATACTAAGAAATCTGATTGGCTTATATTGTTAATGCAATAAGATGAACCAATTAGTGTTCTTGGTATAAAACCTGATAATGTAAGTTCAACAAGCCCATTTCTAAGTATGGACCAATCTTGTTTTGTGCTTTTCCCAAATCTTAAAAATTACTAAAATAAGGCAAATATGAAAATCCACTGACTTGAAAAATACATTGATTATAACTGACTACAAAAGCATTGGCCAAGGTTTCAAAATCTACTATATAAAGACATGAGAACTAGTGCAAAGGGTTGAATTATTACAATATTTCAAAGTCTATGAAAATATAACTTGTGCTTTTCCAGTACGTCAATATTTAAACAACAAAGGCATAAAAATGTTACAAAACATCCAATGAAATAATGACGTATGGGTACAATGTATTACATGATCTTACAAAGTGAAGGGTGGTCACAGGTGTTTTCAAATCTTTTATAAGATGTATTTTTAATTTTCTATAAAAACTGTGTGTGTTATTTATCAAAGTCTGATATGATTTGACTAGATCTAATATTACAAAAAACTAAAAAAAATTACTTGAAACAACAAACATGTTTTTTTTAATGAATATATTTTAAGGACAAAATCTTTGATATATCTTTCTTCTTACGACATTCACAGCCTTAATTATTCATTTGCAGGTTAAAGTTCAAATATCTGTATATTATTTACATAACAATCGTCCAATAGAATTGGAGAATAATTTTGTTGTCATAGTAACAAACTGATAAAAATATATAATCTTCTAAACAATTTTAAATGAAAACAAAAAACAATTTCCCCAATTAACAGTTGAGTATATATACCCTTTATCTTGTATGCACAAAAAACTTCTGGGTCTCAATCAAACTTTCCAGATTTTAATTGATTCCTTCACATTTATCAAAGTTATTTATTTGCTATTACTAAACCAATTTTTTTTGGAGCTTCATGAAAGTAAATCATTTCTGTGAATATCGTATTACTGAAACTAGAATGAGCTTGTTATGGTTTAGTTTTTATTTCTGATACAACTGCCCAATTACTGATTAATTTCAAATAATATTCAAAAGATAGTGGACCACAGCCATATACGCCCACCGCAACATGCGGATGGTAAATATTAAAGATTTTGGGGCAAGGGCAATAAATCTGCTTCTTACGATCGAAAATAGCTCAAATTCGAACTTGATCTTCGTTTTATGAATATGTCTACACATACCGAATTTCATTTGATTCCATCAAAAAATCTAGTTTTTAGAGCGTTTACAAGCAAATGATGTTGATAGAAGCACTTACTGTATAGAGGTTAAAGGGCAATAACTCCTCAAAACTGATGTAAGAGGCCTAAATCTTGAAAAAGCCTTAAATTTAATCAGAACTAAACTAAACTTTCTTAAACCTTTCAATTTAGGTCCAATAATATCCATTTTAAGTTTCATCAAAATCGGTTGAAAACTAAGAGAGTAATAGCATATTCAAGATTTTGGGGCAAGGGCAATAACTCTGCTTCTAACAGTCGAAAATAGCTCAAATTCGATCTTGATCTTTGTTTAATGAATATGTAAACACATACCGAATTTCATTTGATTCCATCAAAAACTCTAGTTTTAAGAGCGTTTACAAACAAATGTTGAGGTGCGAATGGACCGACGGATGGAGTGTTTACGAGCAATTGATGTTGATAGAAGCACTTAATGTATAGAGTTTAAAGGGCGATAACTCCTTAAAACTGACGTAAGAGGCCTAAATCTTGAAAAAGCCTTAAACTTAATCAGAAGTAAACTAAATTTTCTCAAATTTTTCGATTTAGGTCCAATGACATCCATTTAAAGTTTCATCAAAATCGGTTGAAAACTAAGGAGTAAAAGCATATTCAAGATTTTGGGGCAAGGGCAATAACTCTGCTTCTAACGGTCGAAAATATCTCAAATTCGAACTTGATCTTCGTTTTATGAATACATTATGTATACACATACCGAATTTCATTTGATTCCGTCAAAAACGTTTACAAGCAAATGTTGACGGACCGACAGACGGACCAACGGACGGACTGACGGGGGTGCCGACAATATACGTCCACATAGAGTGATGTGGGAGTATAATAAAAACAGGTAACATGGGGGTTATGATTAAACTTGGTTATCAACAATATAAAAATGTCCAATGATAATTTGCCTGTATCCAGCATTAACTTGATTAAATAGTGCATGGAAGATGTTTATTCAGACTTCTTATTTAGTAGGTAAAATCATCAGCTTAGTGCCATGGAATTATTTTGCAACAGAATATGCATGACAGGCATGATGGGTTATTGTCAAAATAGCAAGATGAGCATTTCAGATTGAGATCCAGAGTTGTTCACACAATTTAATATTTTTGAATTTTATTAAGCAAATGTTATCATTTCTGGATCTTTAAATAAATGTTCATTAACGCTGAAAAAAGCAAGAATTTTCATTGAAATCTTGAAATTTCATGTTTAACATTACATTTTCAAATTACATGATCAAAACATTCAAGATGAAAAAAACTTCAGGTTTCATGATTGAATATTTAAATTAAATTCATTCTTCAGGTTATTACAGATAACAATTAAAACAACAAAAACTACTTAAATATTATCAACATAGTGATAGTCAACTGTGAGGAGGGTGGGGAGCGGCTGATTGGGAGGGGCCAAAAGGATGGGTGGGTAAATATACATGAATTATGGCGCAATAACAATATACATATATCAAATATTAACAAAATATATATTATCTTTAACCAGCACTTTTTAACCTTTGATAAAATCACTTTAAGTCATTTAACAACATAATCACAAACACCTTGTCTTTACAATTGTTGAGAAACTTTTCTAGATTGTGAATCATTGTTAATTAGATCATTACTGCAAGGAATATGGTTCCACTTGAAACATGTAGCATAATGTGCCACTAAGAATCGGTGCAACAGGGGTTGTAGACTACATAAACTTGCAACAGAATTGAAGATTTTCTCTGCAGTCATGCTAAAAATTGCTTGTACCCAGGCTGAAGACTTCTGTATCATTTCTGCAGGTTTGCTGTAACGCTGCTACGTGTCTTTTGTATCATTATTTTGTCTTGCAATCGCTGCAGGACTGTTGTAATTTTTGCTGCAGTACCACTGTAAATTTGATGCAGAGCTTTCATCATTGCAAAACTAATGTTGTATTTTTGCTGCAGATATGTTGTATTGTTGCTGCAGTAGTGTTGTATTGTAACTTCAAAATTGATATTGTAAGATTTTACATTTTTCTTTTACTATTTGGATAAAATTCCTTGCTGCAAAAAATGATCACACATCAAACAGGTCTCTTATATTCATTGTTCATATTAACAGAGTTTAAACCTTCATTCTACAAGGCTGATATTTCTATCTTCAACGAGAATGCACATCAGTTCCAGCACTTTAAGAATTAATCACTTCACATTATTTATATTAGGTTATTAAAATAAACAAGATTGAGACATCATGACAACATCGTGAATATCGCAATACACATTTTTACAAACGACATTAAAACTATATACAACTTGTGACACACTGTTTTAAGCAGCAAATTTAAAACAAACTAGGGGAGATAAGCTACGACATCATTTTATATCTATCACAATACACCATATAGTGTTTTATATACAAGACATCCTCCCGGTGGCATCCTCACATCCATCACATCTCTATTCTGGGACTTTAACATTACAATTTGGATTATTTTGTATTGTCTCTGATGCCGTCGTCATCCACTGATTTCTAACTAAACATTGATAGGATTTTAGTCATTTGTTTAACTTAGATCTAAAATAAACTATGAACCTTCCTCCATAGGTTCTGATTCTTGTTCCACTGAGCTGAAAAAACAAGAATTATTCTTCAGCATTTGGAATTTTTTGAATAATTCAAATTTTAAATAAATCACTTTTCGTTTACAGTTGTTTATTGGCTGACTAAATAAATTCTGATTCATTTCTACATTAGATTTGTTGACAGCTAAAAATTAACTCACCATTTCTTTTCTTGAACCATAGAGAGTGAAGCAAGGGCAGTAACTGTGTCTGCTTCCTCCATTTCACATTTCTGAGCTTCAACCAATGACAGACCTATTGTTCCAAGGTATCGTTTCACACATGGCCAGTGACGGGCTAGAAAAAAAAAAAATTAAATGAGCCAAATGAACACCCTGATATTCAAACTGAACCATTCATAGACAAAGTTTATGATACAATTAGTTGAGCATACGCTGGTGTTCCACCAAAAACTTATTACATGCAGACACTGGACTGTAAAATAAGTTGAATTAAACATACTTTGTATTCTAATTGTGGTTTCTAGGGTATCTTGTGCTGGTTGACATGGTTGGCGTCTAAATTCTTCTTCCATTGATTCCAACTGAAACATTTCAATCAATTTCATCTTTTAACTAAACATTCTTTATTTTTTATGGTAAAATGCAGATAGTCACATCCCAATATAAATGTGCAGGCTATTTTGTTATTTATTTTTACCTTCACATGTTTAAAATGATTGATTTAATAAAGTTGGGTTATTTCTACCGCAAAACAAAATACAGTGTTCAAAAGAATTCTGAAAGTCAAGAGCACGAACAAAATGGCTCACCTCATCTCCAAGTAAAGCCTTGACACAGGCTATAGATGATGCACAGATACTGGAAATATCATAACCCCCTTCTAGACATAATACAATTTTCCCTCCTGCTAGTGACATCAACTCTCGTGTCATGTAGCCAAAACCTGCAAAATTATAATATCTTAAAATCATCAAGCCTGTATTGTATAAAACAGTTTTTAGAAATATTTTGACACCCAATAAGCACCTTGTTATATACTATTTTGAGTTTGGTATTGATAATGATAATGAAAAAGCCATTTTACAGTTTGGCAACCTTTTTTTTCATGAAAAAGACTATATAAAGAGTAATATATACACACTGATTATAAGATTTCAAACATTTTAACTTACATTAATGCTTATAAAACTAAACATTAATTAAAAACCTGAAAATTACAAAGTAGAACAAACTTACAATTTGGGCTAACTTCATAACCCCCAAGAGGTGGAGGGTGACCTTTTCCAGCATCAAAACCTGCAGAAACTAACACTATTTCTGGTCGGAATTCACGAGCTATTGGCATCACCACAGTCCTGCAAATATCAAACATGGTTGTTGTCCAGTGTTCATAAAAGGTTTGACACCCTCCTTTTTGTTAACAAAAATTTAAGTCAATTTTATATTCTTCTCAGATTGACTAAAAATCAGATATAACTCATGCTGCCATTCAGTTCAGCAGTCAAAAAACTTCCAATTATTTGAAAAGAAGAGTTCACTCCCTTTAACCAATTTTATTCTTGCAGTTCTTTCTACAATACAATGGTGATACACATTTATTTGAGAGACACTTAACACAGTAAGTGCACCAATTGCTTGCACATTTAACCTGACAACTATTTGAAATGATGTGCTAAATATTTCATGAATGGTGTGCTGTGGTAGTCATAGTAATACAAACACTTACCTAAAAGCTGCCAGATATTCAGCATCTCTCATTGGTGGATTCAAACTACCACCAAATGCGATATTCACATTAAATCCCTGCCCACTGTCAGCTCCACATTCATCTGGAGCACCAGTACCAGGGAAAAAATGTCCATTGTCATGACGATGAATTGATATGTATAAGACATGTGGATTATCATAAAACATTTGTTGTGTCCCGTTTCCATGGTGAACATCCTAGAACAACAAATTAACATTTAATTCTATAACATGGTTGTCATGACTCTGTATTCAAGAACTTTACAAGTGTTTTATTTTTAATATAAGATTTATATTCTTCAACGTTTTGTAATATGAAATGTGGTAAATGTGTGGGTTAACTGGTAGAGAAGGAGAATTTTCCCTGGTTGCCATAAAAACAAATTTGACCTTGACAATCAGAAGCTAAAATCTAACTGAAAACATAAAGGGCTGGATTAAATCAAAATATGACTGGGCCATGTTAATATACATACAGTGGAAAGTATTTCTGGATGTTTGGGTTTTTGATATTTTGGAGACAAAAATAAAACAAAACCTACCCAATCTACAATAAGAACTTTTTGTGTATTACATTTCTCCTTCAACTGTTTGGCAGCTATAGCTATTGAGTTAAAATAACAAAACCCCCTGAAAAATACAAATAAATACCTTGACAGCCTAATAAACACTATTTTTGTATAACAGTTTTTTTCGAGTAATTTGAGAGCCTGTGTGGTTCATTATGCATCATTTTACATTACAAGATAGTGGACCACAGCCATATACCCCCACCACAGCATGCAGATGGTAAATATTCAAGATTTTGGGGCAAGAGCAATAACTCTGCTTCTAACGGTCGAAAATAGCTCAATTCGAACTTAATCTTCGTTTTATGAATATGTCTATACATACCGTATACATTTCATTTGATTCCATCAAAAAATCTAGTTTTTAGAGCGTTTACAAGCAAACGTTGACGGACGGACTGACGGACAGGGGTGCACATTGTGCACATTGTCCACACAGAGAGATGTGGGCGTATAAAAATATATCAACATTGTGTTTGGCTTTCAAAATAGAAGAAATATAATAAAGTAATACTTACATGGGTTGATGAGCTTCAGCATGGTGGCCAGGAGGTCGAACTATAGCTAAACCATTCTGAAATATTAATAATGCATATATATGTTTTGATTTAATATAGCCTATTTTTTTTAATTGTATATCAACACTTTAAGGTACAATTTGTAAAAGTTCAGTTCCATTAGTTTTAGAATATCAAAATCTTTTTGATCAGAAGAAGAGAAAACAAGTAAAGATAGAATGTAGAGGAGCTTGTCAAGAATTTCAAGCATCTCTTGACACTTATGTATGTATACTCATATGCACTCATAACATTGTCCAATAACATATTTGAAACTTCATTTCAATTCATTCAGTAGAAATAAAAAATAAAACTAAGGTCTAATAGTATCCCTCCTACAAAAATCTATTCACATGCCATCTTTAAATTTAATGAATACTGAAAGAAAAATAAATTTTGGCATCAAATTACAATTTAAAACCTCATCAAATATTTCACAATAAACAATCTAAATATAGATTAGGTCAGCATAACATTACACTTTCAATTTTACTCATTAAATCATAGAAGGCAGCTGTCTTTAAATTTAATTAAAATTCTTAACTTGATACTTTGATTACTAAATTAACATGGGCTGTTGATTAAGCTTTCTTGTCAGCCATGTTTGTATTTATCCAAAAAATGACTGACTAAGCCACATTTTGCAGAAATTCTTATGATTACAGTGAAAGAAAAGTCGACTGTTATACTCATCAAGATCTTGAAAGTTTTTCTTTGAATTTTGTTTGGAAAATTCATTCGTAATTTAAACATTTTTATCCTAGTAGATTAAAAAGGTGTTTTTCCTTCATTGTGCATGTATGACTTTTACACTTGAGTTTGTACTAAATCAGAGTCACTTTTAAGAGATACACGCTAGAGACATCCTCTATCCCTAAATAGTGGAATAGTTCAGTCAGTAGCAAGTTGGATTGTCATCTGCTAGGTAATAAAGAGCTCCTCAATACTACTTAAGGTTAGAAAAATTCTTATCTCTATGCCAGTGCTTCTGAGAGTCGACCCTGTCAACTCACACATCCTAATACTCAAATAATTGCTACTTAATCTTTTTGTAAATTTATTTACATCCAAATATATCTTTAATATCCTGTGATGCCTTTTTCCTATCTATGTTTTAGTAGGATAATTTAAGTGATCATAAAAGGTAGCCTCTTATCTATAAGTTGAGAATTTTGTTCTTAATTTAGAAGGTTTTATTAGAAACAAGTCTGTAAAAACCAAAAAATAATTAAAATTTTTATTTGAAGACAAAAGAGTTAATACTTAATATAACTGAATCCCTACATTTTTAATCTTTAGACTTCTTTATGGTTTAAATTTAGATTTCAACCTGCAAGAAAATTATCCTTTTAATATTTTTTATCAAGTTTTATCTCCATATACATAATCAGAGCCTTTTCTTTTAATATTCTATTTTAGAAATGTTGGAATCAAACTTATTGAGTCTAATCTATTTCCTTATGGCCATTGGCTATATGACAAATATGGGCTTATCTTAAGACTAAACTATAATATACAAGATATTCACATTGATGTAATATTGTCAATTCACTAATCTTTTAAACATATCCGTTTTAGAACAAATATAATGTAATCAGCAAGCGGAGTTGAAAAAAAAAGTTCCAATAATAAAAAATCAGTCCCATCATGTGTTCTGGGAGAGTGGAAATGTCCTGTACCTAAAGCCGTATTCAACATTACTGGTGAATATAGGTTTATCAAAAGAGAAATTTTAGAATCTGTAAATCCATTCATGATCTTTTAATTCTGAACTTGATTCTTTAATAATTATCTCTTCAAAATAACTTTAGTACATAACTCAAATTAAACAGATTTTCAGAAAAACCTGGTTTTTAAATATTAAATTAACTGATCAAGTGTAAATTTTTATTGTGTGCATTATATATATGTGATTATTATGAATACTTAGTTAAAAGCCTGTGTTTATTGTATATGTACTTAATTATATGTATGTGATTATCTCGAACATTTGGTTAAAAGCCTGTGTTTATTGTATATGTACTTAATTATATGTATGTGATTATTATGAATACTTAGTTAAAAGCCTGTGTTTATTGTATATGTACTTAATTATATGTATGTGATTATTATGAATACTTAGTTAAAAGCCTGTGTTTATTGTATATGTACTTAATTATATGTGTGTGATTATCTCGAACATTTGGTTAAAAGCCTGTGTTTATTGTATATGCACTTAATTATATGTATGTGATTATTATGAATACTTAGTTAAAAGCCATGTTTATTGTATATGCACTTAATCATATGTGTGTGATTATCTCGAACATTTGGTTAAAACCCTGTGTTTATTGTATATATACTTAATTATATGTATGTGATTATTATGAACACTTAGTTAAAAGCCATTTTTATTGTATATGCACTTAATTATATGTATGTGATTATTATGAATACTTAGTTAAAAGCCTGTGTTTATTGTATATGCACTTAATTATATGTATGTGATTATTATGAACACTTAGTTAAAAGCCTGTGTTTATTGTATATGTACTTAATTATATGTGTGTGATTATCTCGAACACTTGGTTAAAAGCCTGTGTTTATTGTATGTGTGCTTAATTATATGTGTGTGATTATCTCGAACACTTAGTTAAAAGCCTGTGTTTATTGTATAGTACTTAATTATATGTATGTGATTATTTTGAATACTTGGTTAAAAGCCTGTGTCTATTGTATATGCACTTAATTATATGTGTGTGATTATCTCGAACACTTGGTTAAAAGCCTGTGTTTATTGTATATGTACTTAATTATATGTGTGTGATTATCTCGAACACTTGGTTAAAAGCCTGTGTTTATTGTATGTGTGCTTAATTATATGTGTGTGATTATCTCCAACACTTAGTTAAAAGCCTATGTTTATTGTATATGTACTTAATTATATGTATGTGATTATTTTGAATACTTGGTTAAAAGCCTGTGTCTATTGTATATGCACTTAATTATATGTATGTGATTATCATGAATACTTAGTTAAAAGCCTGTGTTTATTGTATATGTACTTAATCATATGTATGTGATTATCTCGAACATTTGGTTAAAAGCCTGTGTTTATTGTATATGTACTTAATTATATGTATGTGATTATCTCGAACATTTGGTTAAAAGCCTGTGTTTATTGTATATGTACTTAATTATATGTATGTGATTATCTCGAACATTTGGTTAAAAGCCTGTGTTTATTGTATATGTACTTAATTATATGTATGTGATTATGTCGAACACTTGGTTAAAAGCCTGTGTCTATTGTATATGCACTTAATTATATGTGTGTGATTATCATGAATACTTAGTTAAAAGCCTGTGTTTATTGTATATGTACTTAATTATATGTATGTGATTATCATGAATACTTAGTTAAAAGCCTGTGTTTATTGTATACGTACTTATATGTATGTGATTATTTTGAATACTTGGTTAAAATGTGTATTGCACAGTTGACCATATGTGTGCAGAGTGTATATGTTTCATCTTTTAGTTTATTGTTCATCATGCACTGATTAAATCTGTCTTTCTATCTTATACACATTATACAATTACATAAAATTATTATATATGTGTTTATTGTTAGTAACATGTACATTTAAATGTGCGTGTGTTTATTCATTTCACCTCTCTTGTCAAGTATACATGTAGCATGTGTCAGTTGTATAATCACACTTTTTGGCTTTAAAGCTTGAAAAAGGTGTAGATATATTTAAGAGCAGATGTGACATTTAATTATGTGAATGTGTATGCTGTTTATTTATTTTTTAGGTATTTTCTAGTATCACCGTTCTTTTATGAGAAATTTTGAGTCAAGGCCATACCTCAACTAGTTTATTTACATAATGGCTGGGGAAAAGTATTTAAATTATAAATGGGATGTTTTCTACTGCTCTTCAAATATCTTGGCACGATGCCAAGATGTCTGCTACCACGATACAAGTTTAGAATCAATTCATTAATAGTTTGTACGGGGTCTCGTAACCTTTTCTTTTCATTCCTATTTCACGTCAATGATAAACCATAAGGAATTTATACCAATAACAAAACAACGTGTCGCGCTAATTTTAGACTCTGGTATCTGAATAACCAAACCAACGTGTTGCTAAAACTGAGGAGTGATTGGAAATTTACCAAATATTTTGACAAAGTGCAGAGTTTTCTAAATTTAGCTTCATATTTTGGCTGAAATTTCTGGGTTTGTTAAAAAGCTGAAATGTTGCAGGCTAGGTGTTGACATTTCTCATTTCAAGTCAGGTAATTTATCAAAAGAACCGCAAAAATTCTGGATTCTTGATACTAAATTTATTTTGTGAATCTGTAGAAGACTTGAATAGAATGTTAAATCTGATAAAACCTCAAAACAAAAAATAAGGTTTTAAATTTAGACTTCAAAATACAAATTCAGTTCAACTCCTTATCTTAAGTAATTTTTGTAATATTTCATTAGAAAAATAGTATGTTTCCTATTTAGCCTTTGTAATGCAATGTACAGTGCCACAAGTATTTATAAACTCAATTTGTTGTACAGGGCCAGTGACACAAAATTGTGTGAAATTGAAAATGATCATACCATGGATCTCTTTTGTAATTTCCTTTGACTTTGACTCAGAGGCTAAATGTTGAAGAGTGGAGACATTCTCAAAATAATTTTGGTTGGTTTATAATTATTTGGAGCATAAAAAAATGTAAAGAATGGAACAGTATAATCTTATAAGAGCTAATAGACAGGCCAATATATTGAACATGTTTGATGCAAAGAAAGGAAAATGGTTTACATCCCACCACCTTTTTTCTCCTTAAGATAATGATAAGGAGACAAAACTCACCTTGAGTTCACCTACGGCAACTCGACAAGCTAACTCTGTTACTGAACCTGCAGCCTGCAAGTATCAACCAAATATGGTGAATGAAATATAAAACAAAATAAATAAACCATTGTTCAATATTCATTATGTCCTCATAAATTCCAATGAACATAATGAAAGCTGACAATGCTTTGAAATGTTTTCAGGTGGTCTAGTTGTATGAGATATAATTTAAGATGAGCAAGATAAATCATTTTCCCATTCTGTATTGGTTCTTGACTTCAATCTCAAATTAATTGTGATGCTCATGCTTACCATCATTTACTAAATTTCCAATAATTTTAAATTCATTCAAAAAAAAAGCATGGATTACTTACAATTCTGGCAGCTGTAGAAGTGTGTAAATCATGCCAGACTGTATCTGAGTCTACACCTACTCCTCCACATGGCAACAAACAAAATCTCATAGGTGATGATTCTAAAACATAACATAAATCATTCAATGTAAATAATGAATTGATAGCAATGTTTCAGTACATCCTTGTAATATCTTCACATATTCCGACGCATATAAATATTCCAACAACATTTTGACACCCGAAAAACATTCTAACAATATATTGACATCTATAAATAATCTAACAATATATTGACATCTAACAATATATTGACATCTATAAATAATCTAACAATATTTTGATATTTAAAAATAATCTAACAATATATTGACATCTATAAATAATCTGACAATATATTGAAATTTATAAATAATCTGACAATATATTGACATTATAAATAATCTAACAATATATTGACATCTATAAATAATCTGACAATATATTGACATCTATAAATAATCTAACAATATATTGACATCTATAAATAATCTAACAATATATTGACATCTAACAATATATTGACATCTATAAATAATCTAACAATATTTTGACATCTATAAATAATCTAACAATATATTGACATCTATAAATAATCTAACAATATTTTGACACTCATAAAATTCAGACATTATTTCGATACCCATAAATATTGTGACAATATTTTGATACCCATAAATATTGTGACATCCATACAGATTCTGACAATATTTTGACATCCATACAGATTCTGACAATATTTTGATACCCGTACCCATAAATATTGTGATAATATTTTGATACCCATAAATATTGTGATAATATCTTGAAACACATGAACATTATGACAATATTTTAACATCCATGAATATTGTGACAATATTTTGATACCCATAAATATTGTGATAATATTTTGATAATGTTAATTCCATTTTGATAATATTTTGATACCCATTTATATTGTGATAATATTTTGATTATCAAGATAATATAATATCTAGACATCCATACACATTCTGACAATATTTTGACATCCATAAATATTGTGACAATATTTTAATACCCATAAATGTGACAATATTTAGACATCCATAAATTTTGTGACAATATTTCGATACCCATAAATATTGTGACAATATTTAGACATCCATAAATATTATGACAATATTTTGACATCCATAAATATTGTGATAATATTTTGACATCCATAAATATTGTGACAATATTTCGATACCCATAAATATTGTGACAATATTTAGACATCCATAAACATTGTGACAATATTTTGACATCCATAAATATATACCCATAAATATTGTGACAATATCTAGACATCCATACACATTCTGACAATATTTTGACATCCATAAATACTGTGATAATATTTTGATACCCATAAATATTCTGACAATATTTTGATACCCTTAAATATTGTGATAACATTTTGATATCCATAAAATTTCTGACATTATTTTGACATCCATAAATATTCTGACAATATTTTGAAATTCATAAAAATAGACATGCCAGTCAAATCCTACCTAATAATTTCTGTCTATTGAGAGGATTGGTACCATAAAGTGATGTGTAAGATTCAGTGTGACAACTTCGTAGTTCTTCTAATGTGGCTTTTCTTGAGCGTACGCTCTACAATTATAATTGTTTTACATTTTATAAAGATTATCCATATATACTAACTACCATTTTAACTCCTACAATTTTCAAAGACGCAGCATTTCAATAGTACACTTATTTTTTAGTTGGATCAATTAGAACCTTGTAGAAAACTTGTTAGATTTGCATTGGAGACCAAAAAGAAGAAAAGAAAAAAAATAATTGTAATCTTATTGTAATTAGATTGGCATTAGGTTGCAGCATTGCAATTCAAGAATAGAATTATTGTTAATTAATGCTTAATTAAGATAATGACTAACCTCACAGCGTCCCACCAATCCATGTTCCTCTAATTGACTCCATATACTGCGTATTCTACCCGCATGTTCTAAATGATTATCATCATTACCACATGTACATGCATGTTTTAACATAATAGTATCATAAACAATACCTACAATAAATGAAGATATATAAAGATATATAAAGATTTTTTGGGATCTTAATTTCGTACCTAGGCCAATTACTCCTAAAGTTTAACAAAAAATTCTTTGCAAAATAAAACCTTTAAACTGGTCTTTATCAAATTAAATATTAACTTATTTATAAAATGCCTAGTTTGCAGTTACATTTATGTTAAAAAAAACTTTCATTCCGTTTCTATTTATGCCAATGTATACTCAGTATACAACTGATAAATTTCTATTACAGAATATAATAAAATCAGCAATATTTATCCAAGAGTGTGAGCTATGTCTAACATTACCTGTGGTAAAATTATAGGTAATAGGACCAGTATCTTGGGCTGATTGAGGTGGCACAGAAAATGTAACAAGAGGGCTGGATTGGGTACGAGATAAAGGACGGTGATGTGATGGTCCCCGATGATGTTTGATTATTTCCCTTTGCTGAACGAGGAATGCCTCGCGACCTCCTTTTTGTTGTTTGGTCAATTCACTGGCTGTTTCTTCGTCCATTTTGTCTCCACGCTGACGATCTTGATCTCGACTCTCTTTCATTTCCTGTGAAAATTTAATATTGATGTTAAAATTAATTTGTTTAACATACCATATTTAGGTTATACCATTTATGACCAGAAAACATTAGTTATTTCACATTAATGTTCAGATGAACTTTGACTTGCTGGTCATTATTGGCCTTGTCATTCAGATGATATTTGATCCTACTGACCTGTTGTAACTTGACTTCTGTTTCTTCATCAACATTTTCCATGTGTCCCTTAGAAGGAGCACGCTGTAACACTGTCTGTCGTATATGCTGAAAAGAAGAGGAGGTAAAAATACTCACTTTGAAAATGTTTGGAAACAAATGTCACAAGTAAAGCAAAAATTCTTTAGCATATTTGTTTATTCAGGTTTCCCTTAATATCAACACCATGTAGATCAACTCATCAAAGATAACTGGACAAAACTATAGCTGAATACGTACCATAAATAGCGGGAAGACTTTTAATTTTTAAACTCTGATTTAAATAGCAACTTAACATGGACAAATCAAACCAAGAAAATATCATGCCCTTTTGTTCAATGAAAAAAATAAAGCTGAACACACACCTGTTTTATATACATTTTCTGATTTTCTTTGATAAAATGTTCATGTTGCTGTTGTAGAAGTTGTTGTTGCTGATGAAAAGCAGGATGACCTAGGGGCAGAGGGGCTGAATGGGTTCTACCTAGAGGTTTATGGCTGAAATACGAAACAATGAAATTTACAAAGAAATCTTTCGATTACACATTAACATGAAATTAATAAGACACAGCCCTACAAGGAGCCATAGTTACATATTAAACACTTAGAGAGTTATACACTACAAGTAATTGTAGTAATATAAAAAAAAGAGAACATGCTACCATAAAGCAATTTTGAAGGTAATTGTTACCTACCGATGAAGTCTGTGGGCAGGGTGAGGAGATTCTGTAATGCCAGTACTAGCTGATGAAGGAATGGTGTATGGGCTGATTAGAGGACTGGATAATTTGCCTTGAGCTGCTAAATAAGCTGCAGTACCACCGGGATAATCGCTTTCTAAGCCTACAATACAAATTCATACATCAGAAAGTTGACACTTAGGTATTTTCCTGTCACCCATTCAGTAAGTATTGTTGGAGTAATTTTTCAATGAATCAGAGTATTTAAATTTAATATATTTCTGACAACCGGTGCAATTATCATTCATGACAATTTTAGCAATAACAAAAGGTACTCTTTACATCATAACTGTTAGATTGCAACACATTAAGTCAAATTCAATACTTATTTTAAGTTCAACTTAATGCACTTAATCTATAATAAGAAGTTACCTGGTGGGAGGGAAGGATAATATGGGGGTAGTGCACCGGTTAACATAGGTCCTGTCAATGGTAGACCCAGTCGAGCTGCCATAGCAGCACGTATTTCTTCTTCTGATCCTAGACTATTACTTGGAGAGCCCTGAAAAAAAGTCACAGTTTTTATTTACTGGCCATTAATTATTCAATTAGGCAATATGAGACCTAATACCATTTGCTATTAAACTGATCGAAGTAACCTTATTCCTTATTTACTTCCATTCCTTATTCATATTGTGACAAAAAGTTCCTTGTATTACACTGTATCTATTTCATTGTAAATTGAAATTTATGTTCGAAAGCATTACGTATAAAAAGTGTGATTGAGAAAGCAATCACTATATTGATTCTTAAAATGAATCTAAGCAAAGCAATAATTACCGAGGAGCTACCAGATTTGGGTGGCCGACCAAGAGATATGTTGGGCATTGAGGGAGAGGTATACAGACTCAGGTCAGCCCCTGGGTACGACAATCCAGGTCGTAATATCTGAAACGGGTAGACTCCATTATCCTGCAGAGAAACAAAATCAAAAATAAACTTTGCAATATATTAATATAAGAATAGCCAATCATGTCTGACTGAATCTCCAAAGTATTGGAAGGAATAATTTGAAATATTTCAATTCTGTTTGGTCACATTTATCTTGCAATCTATAAATCATACATCAAAACATACATAAAATTATTGCTGCAATTTCCATGCTAGAAAGATCAATTAGTGAAATACATGACAGCAAGATTAATAAGCTATTTATTAATTTCTTGGATCTAAGTTGGAGATTTGGATGACTCAGTTACAAGCCTCCATCATGAATCTAATTCAGAGACTGGTAATGGAGAGAAGTGGGAAGAAAAAATAAATCTAATTGAACTTATGCTATCAATAATAAAACATATGCTTGCGGCAAGTCTCGCAAGCGAATACGCCCACCAGCAGCTTGATAAAGAGCTAAATGTGAACTGTAAAACAAACTCTATAGGGTGAGCACAGGCCAAAAAAGTGAAAAAATACGATATCAGAGTTTTATGCAATATCTCTCAAGAAAATCATTGGATCATCACCAAATTCAACAGTGCACATCTTCATAATGGTATTAACACACATACAAAAGAATCAATAGAGAATTGTAGTCTGTAGAGTGAGCACGAGGTAAAAAAGTGAGAAAAAAAACGAACGCGATATTAGAGTTTTACGCGATATCTCAAGAAAATCATCGAATCATTACCAAATTGAATAGTGCACATCTTCATAATGATATTAACACACATACAAAAGAATCAATAGAGAATTGTAGTCTGTAGAGTGAGCACGAGCCAAAAAAGTGAGAAAAAAAACGAACGCGAAAATCATCGGATCATTACCAAATTGAATAGTGTACATCTTCATAATGATATTGACACAAATATAAACAATCAAAAGAATTCTTGGAGAATTGTAGTCTTTAGTGTGGGAACGAGCAAATAAGTGAAAAAAACGAACGCGATATCAGTTTTATTATGCGATATCTCTAAAGAAAATAATCGGATCATCACCAAATTGAATAGTGCACATCTTCATAATGATATTAACACACATACAATAGATCAAAAGAATGTATGGGGGTTCGTAGCCTGTAGAGTGAGCACAAGACAAAAAAGTAGAGAAAAACAAACGCGAAATCAGAGTTTTATGCGATATCTCTGAAGAAATCATTGGATCATCACCAAATTCAATAGTGCACATCTTCATAATGATATTAACACATACAATAGATCAAAAGAATCAATAGAGAATTGTAGCCTGTAGAGTGAGCACGAGGTAAATGTGAACGGACGGACGGACAGGGGCAACCACAATATACGCCCATACTTACGTGTAATATAATAATAAAGTGAGAGAAAGGTATTGATGATAAAGAAGATATGAAAATAAAGTATTTAGGAGAATTGAAGCTATTATAGTGAAGTCTTTATATAGAAACACTATGATATTTATAGACCTCTCATAGTATAATGGTAGAAAAGCTTGGCTTGAGTTATTTTTAGTCTCATATAGATTAGATAGTCACAAATGTCAGCTTTATAACATCCAAGATATGGTTCCTGATATTTTCAAACTTTTCATAAATATTTCTTACAGTTTTTTTCATCTAACTATTCTTTACCTTTTGCATCTATCATAAAAAGGAAAATTTGAAATTGGATTTGGAAGAGTTTTTGTTTGGCTGAGTTTCATCATGAAATTGTTATAAAATTGACATATTGGATTATAGGTGCAAACCATTTTTGGATTTGGACAAAAAAAAAATTTCTACTACATAAATTTAATTTTTTATTCCTAAATAACAGCAAAATCAACTTTTCTGATAGGACTCCATCTTTAAAGAAGAGGGGAAAAACTGAACAGAACATCAGTGGATCAATATTTCCATCATTAATTTCTATCACATCAAAATAACTCAATTCTATCGCCACAAGTCAGGATGAAAATAGACTGTATTTTCTATTTTTTATATAATTAGATAGAAGATGAGAGAAATGTTGTTTTGTTTGTGGAGTAAAAATTGCGGTTATCTGATTAATATAGGTCTCAATTATCTAAACCCTACATCCTCCTGGAAAAATATCATTTCTACCATAGGATAAAAAACTCTACATTTCAATTCATTTCATTAGTTCAGTTTTTATTATACTTCATTTCATTAGTTCAGTTTTTATTATACATTTCATCAGTTCAGTTTTTATAACAAGTTTTTATTACAATTCATTTCATTAGTTCAGTTTTTATTACCAGTTTTTATTACAATTCATTTCATTAGTTCAGTTTTTATTACCAGTTTATATAACAATTCATTTCATTAGTTCAGTTTATATAATAAGTTTTCATTACAATTTATTTCATTAATTCAGTTTTTATTACTAGTTTATATTACAATTCATTTCATTAGTTCAGTTTTTATAACTAGTTTTCATTACAATTTATTTCATTAATTCAGTTTTTATTACCAGTTTTTATTACAATTCATTTCATTAGCCAGTTTTTATAACCAGTTTTCATTACAATTTATTTCATTACTTAAGTTTTTATTACAATTCATTTCATTACTTCAGTTTTTATAACCAGTTTTCATTACAATTTATTTCATTAATTCAGTTTTTATTACCAGTTTTTATTACAATTCATTTCATTAGCCAGTTCTTATTACCAGTTTTTATTACAATTCATTTCATTAGTTCAGATTTTATAACCAGTTTTCATTACAATTAATTTCATTAATTCAGTTTTTATTACTAGTTTATATTGCAATTCATTTCATTAGTTCAGTTTTTATTACTAGTTTATATTACAATTCATTTCATTAGTTCAATTTTTATAACCAGTTTTCATTACAATTTATTTCATTAATTCAGTTTTTATTACCTGTTTTATTACAATTCATTTCATTACTTCAGTTTTTATTACCAGTTTTTATTACCAGTTTTTATTACAATTCATTTCATTACTTCAGTTTTTATTACCAGTTTTTATTACAATTCATTTCATTACTTCAGTTTTTATTACCTGTTTTATTACAATTCATTTCATTACTTCAGTTTTTATTATACTTCATCGTATAAGTTCAATTTTGTAAACAGTTTTTATTTTCC